GGCAGAGTAGATAAGCACATAATCTGATAACAGTTGCTCCCATTAGTCTGACTCTTGCTAATTATTGCCCACCTTGATGGATGATCTTCGATCAGATGGCAAAGGCGCCGTTTTGAATACTTCAAGTTCAAGATCAATTCCTACTACCAACTTTTGTACGTTTTGTCCCAAAAAACATAGATCATCGAGAAACCCGAGTGTATTTGAGGAAAGGAGACACAGGCTCCCAAAGGTAAGTTTTCTCACTAGCCTATGTATCATAAAATGATCAATGATGGATCTAAGATTTTCGTTGGCTGTCGTATGCAAGAGGTATCGCACGGGACTTGTCAAACAGCTTTTTACACTTCAAGGAAGCCCTTAGTGAAGATCCGTTTCAATTTTTCATTTCAATTCCATATCTTCGTTGTATTCTTAATAGCTCGGAGAAAACAAACTGACGTAATCGCGATTTTTCATCTTTAACAGCATACAGAACCATAATTACTTATTGCACCGCCATTGATAACTTCTAGACCTCTGATTGGGCGATGTGACTGGAACCCCTCGGAAAAATCCCATGTTACAGCCTAATTTGCGTGAGAAAAGTTTTAAAGGTCATCGGTAATCGGTAATAGCTCATAAAGACCAAAATGAGAAGGGAACGTCAAAAAATTTTGTTGGGCCACACCATCGCATCCCTACACGTTTGCAATAAGGTTTTTTCCTAACCAAGTGATGTAATGCAAACCAACTCACCAATGAATCGCAGTACTGTAAAAGTTTGGCGAACTGTAGGTATCGTAGTAATCGTTCGTATTTACATGGCCATTTCAATGAAAAAGGTTTGCGATCACCGTTCACCGTATACTGACTGAGTTCCTCATCAGCGCACACGTCGATGTAGACCTGAATTACAATTTTAGCGAAATATGATAATTAGTGAAGCGGAGGAGGTGCAGTGGTCATAGGCGCACCAGCAAATAAACACGGTCAAGAATTTCAGACTGATATGCCATCAGGTTAATCAAGTTCTCCATCCCTCATAGGTAGGTCAATTGGTACCGGACTCGCATGGGAGGATAAAGCTAAGTACGATTTGTAATCGACTGCCCACCGCAAGTCATTGTGTACATTGGTCAAATGCGCATCCCAAAACGAACCACGATTCTGAATCGATGTCGATTGCGGGGCGCATCCCAGAACGGGATTGACTACCACCAGGAACTTTATCTCTCTCATCCTTATCATTATGATAACTGGCTCAACAAGTATAAAACCTGAGACTTTCGGGATTGCATAAGGCACCACCTATTTTCTACATTTGTAGGCCAATTTCGGCTTGCGGTAACAAAGGATGCACAATGGTAACAATGGGTACATGTTAATAAAATGTTAAGCCTCACGGAAGCCAGTGACTCGAGGTAGATTAATCAAGAATCAAGTGTTCGCATCGCGATTGTTCTTTATAAGCTCCTCCGCAAACTTAAACTTCGTACTCATTATGGCACAAGCCTTTAATTCAAGCATATACTGCTCGTTGGTCTTTTCTAACCATCTAAGAATGCGCCAGGACTTCTTGATATATCAATATTTTAAGGTATTTGCAGTTTTTCTGGTAATCTTTACTGACTTCGCCATCTACAGGTTCTTTCCGTGTCATATACTTATTTGAGGGTCTAGAACGCCCTTGATGTGAGACTTGTGAGGGAATAGGATTAGGTTGAAAAAAGTGTTGCACTCATGGAACTTGTCCAATATGTTTCAATAGACCGTCAAAGGTCGTCATCTATCCTATGACCGCAAAAAGCGTGACTGTTTGTAAGGTGAAATTGAGAGTTGACAGCTGATCGTCAGAGCATAATTCCCTGAGTGCTTCGCATTCGGGTAGGAATAGAACTCGCAGATTCATTCAAATTCAGAAGTTAAAAAGATTTTGCAGCGATAAATTAAGCTAAGTGCTAGTGAATGTTAATATTTACAAAGAGATTTCGGGGTGAGCCATGCGTTTTACTACGACTCTGGATTTGGAGTTGTTTGAACATTTACTCTATCATTTTACCACTTTATCACTTGACGATTCGCTGGGATTAGGTGATTATCAAAATCTCTCCGGTAATTATGCCAGGAAGCCGGCTCATGGGTTGGAGAACATCGGTGGGCGTCAAGCAACACTTCTGACCACTACATATGCCTCAGGCCTATACTGTGCTGTACAACCCCACTTACCAATTTTGGACAGTTTTAAAGTTTTTCGGTGTTTCTTGTGAACAGTGAAGATGTTGGGTTCTTGTTATATACCAATAAAACTTTGTGAATTCCACAACAAAACCTGATATTACTTGAAAATCTTAAGCTGCAAAAAAGAATCTCAGCTTTGTTTACGTTAAAAACCTGGGACCGTTTTTGTGTAAGAATTAGAACCGGTTTCTACTTTGGTTTTACCAAAACAAAAAAAATCATAAAAAGTAAAACGAATTGGGCGTTGCCTTGTAAACAATCCTTGGCAGCCATAGCTATGAATCTTTTTGAAGGCTCTCATTATAAAAAAAAAGTTCCTGACATTCCTTATTGAAGAAACGTTGGACTGTCGTTGAACCTTCCCAACCTTCTCTTCAAACAGAATCCTGGCGAGAATGATGGCCAGAGCTTACCAAGATGGAAAATTAGAGTAACTCATGGCTAAAGGATAGTTTGGGAAATAGAAATCATGGGGAAAATCTTTTAAATTAAACCATCGATTTCAGCTTTGCTGAACAATGACTATCCTTTATAAATTTCTGACAGAATGCCGTATGAATTCGAATCAAAACCTCCTCATTTAATGGGTTTCCCATTTCCCCTTCTGCTCTTCTCATTCTGACGAGACAAGGCCAATATAAAGGGAGCATACTACCAAAATGCCTAGCCCAAAATGGTAGTGCTGTTTAATTTCTTCCTCAAAATTCAATTTCGATTTCGATTTCCTCATTTTCTTTCTGAATCATTTATTTTCTTTAGACATAATTTGTCCAATGCTTTTGCCTCTTTGCAAATGATTTTGGAGTGATAATTGCAAATGATTTATGAGAGATAATCCTTATTCTCTTCAAAACGGATGCCTTCTTTTCTCCCAACGGATTTCTTTTGTTGAGAACTAGCACTGGAATGAACAAAGCCTTAAAATTGGATTTTTCAGTTGAGATTGTTCTCCAAATGCTACAGCCATACATCTAATATTTCAGAGTAGAATGTCCTGCTTTTTCAAGCAGAAATTGGTACATTTTGTGCGGAAATCGATGTCTTGTGATTGTTTACAGCCAACCCTATTGTTTACCATGCTATGTCACTCGATTTTACTTGAACAGTTGTAAAAGTGAAACTGAACTGGATCTCGATCAGATAGAATCTCCCGTTGAATGCTGACAACGGCGGCGACGGCAACCGAGTGGCCTTCTGTTGCTCAATCAACTTAGCTCATAGATGACGGTGTGTCCTCATTTGCCCGAACACTCTTCATTCATTCATTCTTACCGCCTCGACTATGTGTCACCTCAACTGACTGAATCGCGAACGTGTCCCAATTTTTCTCCTTTTTTTTCAACGGGTTTGTTCCATATTTGCAGATAGGTGGCAGATCGAGAATGCTGATCCGACCAACCCAAATGATTTCCCACAGTATGGGTCCTTTTTACCTAAACTGTTCCCCATAACGATTTAACAAGAAACTAGCCAAAAAAGCGCAGAATTCGATGGTAGCTACCCTTTTTCTTGCTCATTTCGGATTGCTTCGCTAAAACAAACCGAAAGTGGGTGTTCGGGTATAGCCGATGCCGATTGTATCTTCCTTCATCTCATCGTCCAGCGATGTTTTCTTGCTTTCGAAAAACTCGCTTTCAGATGTATTTCGTTACTCCCCTTATTACACCAACCCTGTTTGTTTTCATATCACGTTTCGGCCCACTGTTTTCTTCCCATCGGGCATGTGTACATTACTATACTATGAAATTATAAGAACGAAAACTTTGGTCTCACGTCTGAATCTCCCTAGACGAGGAACCAATCTCGTTGAGGAACAGCTTCCTTGCATTTTATCTATGTCCCGAGCCACGCTCATTTCTAAAGTGGTTCATGATCCTAGAAAGTGACCTGTTTGGGCCTCATCGTTTTCTTCAGTCTTCCTTAATGATGGCTATGTTACTCAGACTATTTTTCATCTTTACCCCTGTAAAAAGTGACGTGATTTCCTTATCTAAAGATCTTCAAACCACCCAAACAGCTCCTTCCAGAGGGTGACGCCAACATAAACTGGAAGCTAGTGTTCCCTGCTAATTTTAGAAGGCTTTCTGCAGTGTTGCATTTGCCGAACAACATTGCGCTGTTCACCCAACTGTGAAAGATAAGATTATTGTTTGCTTGCCATGGTCCGCGCCACCTTGATAGTCCTGTATACATTGAGAACTTAGGGTTTCTGGGCTCTGGCACATCTTTTTCTGGTTTACTGATGATTCCCGGGAAGCTGCACGATTGTGTCCGGCATGTTTTGGTGCGAATCGAATGGGCAGCGTTATTCTTCGTGTTTCATTGGAGGATCGACGACGAGTCTCAATTGATCCATCAATACGACAAAGCGCGAATCATCAGCTAGAATTACTGGAACGAGTTTCAAAGAATTCTAATCGTAGCCACGCCACACTAAACAATCGAATCTCGTTCTCTCTCGGACGGTACATAGCTCGACACCAGCCCTAGCAAAGCTCAGGCTTAGGTTGTAGTTACATCCTCAGGTCCTGCCCACTTCCTGTTTTTCTCTCTTAAGAATCATCCTATATACCGTACCGATAGGTGAAGCGATAGGTAACACGTTTTGGTGAAAACATTGACGCCCATTCGCTTCCAATGGGTTTTCTAATCATTTCAGCCTCTTGTTTATTCCTTTGTCCTCCTATATATGTGCCCACGTCTTCACATTCTGCAAGCATTCGTGTTCGTATATGAGCTTCTTATTTGGGCGCCATCCATAGCTCCAAAATTCCAGGACCATGACGCTGTTTCGGGCGTTTCTGCTTTTGGCGGCCGCCGTCACGTCCTCATATGCTTCCCTCAAGGGCTACGATGAGGACTTCGTTATGAGATTTATCAATCGTTCCCAGACACTCGACATCGACGAAAAATGCCGAGACAGCCTCGGAAAGGTGAGTTCAATACTTCAGTGGTTTGTTTCTGGGATTACGAGACCCTTATTTCAGGTCCACGAATACCTACAAGATCATGATACTCTCGAAACTCAAAGTATCAACTACTATGACTCCTTCGCGACAGGTTAATTATTTCAGTGAGAGGTTTTTCACAACAGCTCCTTATCCCTTGCCCGAGAGAGTTTTTCAAACACTTCGATATGTGGGTTGTGGTTTCATCGTAGAGGAATCGTACCCAGGCTACTTTTTTGGACCGGGTTCGTCATAAGGGCTGGACGACCGATATGGCGATTTCACGGTCCATATCACGGAACCAGCCTGGAGTAATCTTTCATCTCTTTGGGGTCATATAATTAGTACCAGACTTGTCTGGTGGAATGAAAACGACAGCCGGTTTTAAACCAAGCTATAAAAACTTGATCCATTCTATGCTTCAACTCTAAAAGTGTTCGGAACACAATATGAGGATCAGAAGTCTCGTCCTGGATACAGTTGTTTCCTTGGAAATTCGGGGATAAAGTGCGACCAGAGACAACACCGTTATCGCCGTAATTTCCGGAGTATGAGCGTTCCGCCATTCCGTAGTAAAGTAATTAGTAATACTGTAGTTTGGAAGGTATTTCACTGATCCAATTCCCCCCTCCACCNCCCCCCAACTATGGATACTCCATTCCTACGGTTAGTAGATTATCTCTCGCATCAAAGCATTGGCTCCTCGGTGCTTCCTTAAAAAAGTTAATCCGATGGGCATAAGTTTATAGCCCATAAGATGAACGCAGTGACAAGTTTTCACCATTAATACCCATGCCAACTATATGACCCCGTTCAAGGTCCCTCACATTTGTTCCTGTCGCGAGATCAAGATCGATGGGTCTATCGCGGTTATGGTTGCCTCGTTTCGGCAGGTGAAACCATCTACTCAAAGGTAATCAGATCTTAAAATCTCATATGCTCCTTTCAACATTAACTCTGAAGGAAGAATGTTACAGAGCGAGTATCCTATGCACTTCTGCTATTCGCATGATGATACCGACAGTCCGGTAGAGGCTTACGGAGTTTGCCTTCCGACACCGTGTGCCGACGATCATGTTGATGTCAGTGACTACTCTCAAACAAATTTCAATTCAAACCATCAGTTTCATAGCATACTGTTTAGTTACTGAAAGAATGGCGAGCAATGACGAAACCTGAAGAGGCTGATCTACCGATGGACTTTACATCATGTACTCGATCAAGACACGAGAAGCAATGGTAAACCTTTTGAAAAGTTTCCCGAAATTCCTGTTGATCCTGTTTTCCATTTAAATCTTTGAATTTCCCTGCTGCGAAATGTTGACAACTTTGGATCAACACGTTCTAAATACACTTCGATTTGAAGGAAATGGAAGTGGAAATCGCGCTCCACGATTCAAAGCACCTACGGGTAACTCGTCCAAAGCCGAGTGTGGTGGACATGTTACTTTACAATATCGAAATAACAGATTACTACCATCATATGCTTAGTATAAGTTGAAACTTCAAGGAAGAAATATTACACCAGGTGTCCTTGCAAGTATGTTCTGGAGCAAGGTCCATTGAATGACCTAAATCGTCCAAGCACGCTTCGCTTGGCAATTGTCGCAACGTAATTAAGGAAGAGGTCCACTCCTTTTCAGTAAGAACGAATTTTGGACAATTATCTGAAGATAGTTCTCTTTTGTAACGTATAGCTAGAGGATCGAAAGGTTCACAACAGAAACGTTCACAACTTCGATTTTCCAATTCCGAACCCAAACTAGGCAAACAAAGCGTCAACAAAAAAGGGTTAGGTTTTCTGATTCCCACCCAGCTAGTTCCGATCACTTCTACTCGTTCTGGGGACGATTTTCTATATTTCTTTTTAATAAACCCGGATAGATCTCGTTATAGGTTTGAGAAATTCATACCAGTGGCTGATCTCGCCTTCAATTTGCTGCTTCTGATGCTTGTCATAATGGCCACAATATTTCACAATATGAGAGGAGAAAGTGTCAAGTTCGTCTTCTTTCCCTGCATTTGTCATTTTCAAAAGTCCAGAAAGAGGGCTTTGAAAGCCTAATCGCTCAATTATTTCAGAACGATGTCAAGCCGGATTCTTTTGGCATTCTCGGCAAAAAAGAATCTACAGCGGCTAGTGCAGTTGCCGAAAGACCCTCAGTCATGTATTACATGCATGTTCGGCATGAGAGTTCTGTCCATGATCTGGACCCTTGTGGGCCATTCGTTCATCTTTGTTCAGGTTCGTTCTCTAGTGAGCAATTTCGTCATGAATCAACGTCAATATACCTCCCACAGAAATAAAGAAAACCGCCTTTAGTACACTGTAATAGAAATGATTGATGAATATCAAACTGAAAAACAAAAAATTGTTCGTTCTAAGGCGCTACCGACGATTTCCAGTTCTTGATGCATAACAATTAGTTCTATAGGGACTCGTTTCAAAGGCATTTTGTTGTTAGAAATACTTTTCTTCAATCATACCGGGGCTCAATTCATATCAAGGACTTGTGCCACGATTTCGGAAAAGGGAGATGTATGTCTTGCTTATTTGGCCCTACCCTATATCCAGCGCCTAGAATACCAACAAGCACTGGTCTTTGTGTAGGGGGCGGGAATCTGATAATTTTTTTTAATTCGTGAAAGTGTATAGAAAAAAATCATGTTTTGAAGAACGGACTTTTGAATTTTTGAAGCTGTGATAAGTGCCCCCTTCACTTAACTTGAACGCCCTAGCAGTGAAAAGTCAACCAAAAGACGTTCTGTGGAAGTGTCTATAACGACAGAAAAAATCAAAGGATGAAATGAATCGGACGTTGTTTTACAATTACTACTTACAATTATAAATTATAGGTCTAGAGAAATAACACATAATTAGTGACATTCATCATTTCTAATGGAAAAACTTGTCATTCCTCTGCCCTTTCTTAGAGATCAGTTTTGTAAATGATGCATAGTACTGTAGATGTTATGCATAGCAGCAAAGAAGAAAATTCCAGTCCATTTTCCGCAGAAAATTGAACCCTAGAACTCGAAACTTTATGAATCACTCCTTACCACAACCCTAGGATTGAGCGGAGGCGGTTTAGTAGCGGAATCATTCGACAGAAGCGGTTCCTACATAGATGGGACTTTCCCATCACACGCCTAATCCCGGCCGAGAACCTCTCTTTAGCCATCTGTTACAATGAATGCAGTACTATGATTACTGTGACCTATAGAACATCGACTGCCATCCCACAAAGGCACATTTTTTCTGGAAACTTTTTTTTCAGGCATATTTGGAGAATGTTGAGTACTTCAAAACGTCTATGGTTAACAATTTCTGGAATCAGTGGATCACCAACTTCACTCTTAGCGTTGATACCTTTTTCGTGCTAGGCGGAACTGTGCTTTCTTATTCATGGTTCCGAAAATGGCTGAAGAATACCACTGGTAAGCGGTTGTCAAATACTCTCATGACTCTACGAAAAAGGACATTATTGCAGAAGAAGAACCCACATGGACGTCTTACAGCTACTGGTTACGTTTCTACAGACATCGTGTAGTACGACTGTGGCCAGCGTATCTGTATACTTTGATGGCAGTCACCTTGAGACTTTCAGTGAGTTGGCTATGTGGTCCTCAAATTCTGAACTCTGAGCTATGCGATTTTCGCTCAGGTAACCCACTTCCATCCCATGTGGCCTCCAACCGATCCAGCCATCCAATGCCCAAAGCACTGGTTCGAAAATGTTTTCTTCATCAACAGTCTATTCAACAACAGATGTATGCCCTGGACATGGTAAGGCTTTTTTGCGGTTCTGTTTATTTTTATTCCATTTTATTTTATTCAAATCTTAAACTCAGGTAATATTTTAGGTATATTGGCACAGAATTCCTCTACTACCTCGTTTCCCCGATCTTCTTGCTCACTCTGCGGCAAACGCCAAAACTCGGATTGGTGAGTTAGTTGATAAAACAATTCCATGGAAACGACGGACCTTTTGGATCTAGTGCAGGGGTATGCAGGCTCTTGGTTCAATGTGTAGTCACACCTTATATTTTGGTCTCAAACGGAACCCTTTTTTGGACGCCAAAAAATGGTGTCGGAGCGTTGCCTAACGGTCCACTGTGCTACTCGGACCAAGTGAATTGTCGTCCACTAGATTTTCCTCCTCCTGGATTGGCTGATGATGATTCCTTAGTGCACCTAGATTTGTCATTTTAACGAGTAAACTGCTCATAGGACACTGTTCTGTAGTACTTTCTCCCATAAGGAATCAGTCTATGAGGATCACAGTGAAAGATTGAGGCGGAATTAGCTGAGGGAGACTGTGTAACATACTAAGAGATGAGGTCTGTTGGCAGAGTCGCCCAGGCGTCCGCAGGAGCTATTCTGGATGAAAAAAGGAGGGAAAGTGGAGGAGAGGGTAAAAGAAGGGGTGATGGAGAAGTTGGTGCAAGGTGGGCGATCAGCAGCATTCCGACGATTGGAATGTGCCAGTATCGTACCATCAACTGCATCATTAAATAATTTGTTGTATCGCCAAGTTACGAGCGAGGTAGGCGACTGCCGAAAACAGTCTCAACCTCAATGGGCCTTCAACTAATGGCGAACGCGTGATTATGCGAAACCACTCAGATCAAGGACATGGTAGTAATGGCAATGAAATTGGCTTAGCCCTGGGAACGAGTCTTTTCCTACGATTCCAAGGCGAAGAGCAAGAAAAAGAGCCATCTAGTGGGGATATCAAATCATCATAGATGAAAGCGATTTCAGGCTCTTTGCTTGTTCACCATATCGGCTTCGGCTGGACTCAATACCGTCAAAATGGTCCAGAGAAATTTCCCTCCAACACAATTCCTGTGGAGACAACCAGAAATGTTCAATCCAAACTTCATACAGGTACATATTACTATTAACCCACTGAAGTAATAAAAACAAGTTACACTTCTTCAGCATCACATTGAAATCTACATCAAACCGCAGTATCGTATTGGACCATATATTATTGGCCTGATGCTCGGCTACATTTTGGCTAATTTCCAACGACAAGCGATCAAACCCATGAGAAGTGCGGCATTCGTTGGTGAGTGAGGTTTCTCTTGGTTTGTTACCCTCGCATGGAACAAAGGGACGATAAAATTGCCATTTCAGCAACCGGCTGGCTTGTTGGCTTCTTGTGCGGATTTTGGGCGCTATTCGGACTTTATCCATCTCTACAAGGATGGAATTGGCCTTTGTATCACCTCGTCTATGGAACAATTCATAGGTATGTAGTTTTCAGGCTAATCTTTCTTGAGTTGAGGGCATTTGCTGCCATGAATATCCTTAAGTATTCAGCTTCTGCTCCTAATAATCACTTTTTATTACATGTAATAATTATTAAACGTCGAAAGGTTGGGCGAAATACATACTGCGAACAAAAAAAAGTTGTTCGGCACAAAATAATTGAACACCCTTAGGCATCCCAGAATTCAATTCAGCCTCGATTTCCATCATTCAGAATTACTTTGATTGATGAGTTCATCTTAGCATTAACCAATTTCAGAGATGTGTTCGCGATAAGCATGGCCTGGTTGATATATGCATGCCATACGGGTCTTGGAGGCATCATCAATCGGATATTGAGTGCCAACTTCCTCGTGCCTCTATCGAATCTCTGCTACTCCGTGAGTTTTACAAGACTTTTCAGTAAGAAAGAAAATGGAATCGGTCGGGTGGTACTGCTTCAAGCCCGGTTTTCCGGGGATGCCAAAAGGCTGCGAAGCTCTTAACCCGCTTCCATAACAAAGCAAGTGATGAGATATAGCTTCGTTAGTAGTTCCTTGAGGATTCATGTACTGTTCACAACCATGACTTCGTAGTTGACCGAGGTTCGTCCCAGTTAAATTCGATGACACCGCCGTAAGGGAAGGATGGGAAGGGCAGGGTAAAAAGTCCCAGAGCAGTTGATACCCATCAGATACACCCATGTCGATATTTCCATCCAATTAGCTTGAAGATGTCTGTTCAAAAAATTATTTTCAACTTTTCTTTGCAGGTTTACCTCTTCCATATGATACCGGTTGTGCTCACCTATTTACTGGTACCGTTCCCTATCATCTTCGAAAATCAATGGGCGATATTCATTCATTGCTCTGTACAGCTACTGATTTCGTACATCTTCGCTCTTATCTGCACTCTCGTGGCTGAGTATCCGGCTCACAACATCGAGAGCATCTTGTTGAGCCCGAATCAGAGCAAAACCACATTGAAGACAATACCGACTTCAGACTCTGAATTGCAGCTGAAGAAGTCTTCCAATCCCTTATGACAACGCTAGTCACCCCTTCGCCACCCATCTTTTACGGTGAATAACGGCTATACGCAGCTCAAAATCCAGCCAAGAAGTAACCATCATTTCCATCATCGTTTATTCTGTGGCCGAACCTGTACCATACTCTAGCAAATGGTCTCAGTTTATTCTGTTTTTTTGTACCTCTCGTTGAGTTCATTATGTCACCGTAGTTCGCTTTACGGGATGTCACAAAGCAATTCGCACAGTGGTGACGAAGTATATCACCCCAGGCTCCCTGTCGGAGCTCCTGTAGATGATTTTGTGCCCAAGTCAGGGCTTCAAGCCATTAGATTGACGTCAGCTCAATCTCGTACTAGTCTCAAACATCGTAACCGGTGTCAATGATGAGCGGAATGGCTCTTTCAATTGGCTAGTTGGCTTCAACCATATTTCCATCTGGGCTGTGCTTCCTGACAACTTTTAGAGGCACAGGCATATCACTTAAAAACTTTGTCGAGGTCAATTCGATGGCCTCCAACTATCCACCAAATTCCATTACGTGACGGGCATCGAGTATAACGTTGTAAATTACATTTCTTCCGCTCAGAATGTCTTTCAGAATCACCCTGAATACCAGATTTTACTACCCCTCTTATTTGTCGCCTCCATAGCCTTTTTTCATTGTGTGATATAAATGTGATTCGAACGATACATAAGAAATGTTTGAATAAATGTACAAAGATCATAATTAAACCAGATTGATTCTGCTTGTTGGTGAATGTGGTAATTCAGTTTTATTTGAAAGATGGAAGTCATACTCTGACAAAAAGCCTGAAGAACCAGTCACAGACTTGTGGAAGGCCGTAGATTTGACGATGATTTGAGAGAGTGCATGAGGAATTGATGGGATGCCTTAAGGTCCCCGCTCTAGCGTTTGGGAGTAGACACGCAGGAAGGCATGCGGTGAGACAGAGCAGACAACAAGAGACACTACTGAATTACCATATTCCTATATTATATCACGTTTGGTCGCAACCTTCTAGTCCTACGTCGAGTCGCTACTGAGAACTAAGTTTTACTATAGACACCACTTTAGCATCAAAATATTTACGTTGCTGTTGACCCAGCATTCGCCTTTGAGCGTACAATTTTCCCAACCAGGCCTATAATGGCTTTTTACACCCCTCACTAATCGAAGTCGTGATATTTTGGAAAATACAATATGTTCCCAGAGCAATCCGTCTAGTTACAGCTACCATTAGATTAGAGCTCGTCTGCGCGGTATGGCCAGCTACGGCCTTCCGTAGGTCTGTGACTGATTCTTTTGGTTTTTTGTCAAAAGTATCACTTCCAACATTTTCACACAAATGTATTACCACATCCGTATTCTACCGTAGAAATGACCATAACATTTTCTTACAGCTTGGCAATTTTGTTTCCGAATAAAAACCTGTCCGAATATAATAAGATTGGTAAGGGAATTGTTCTGACAAGACTTTGGCGATAAGGTGCTTGGGTAGAATTTCTTCTCTTCATCGTCTGACATTAATGTAATCGGTTTCTTCGAAAGCATCGATATTCCTCAAAATCAAGGGATTTCCGCTCATCCGTCACGAATCAGATGAATTTAGCAGAAGCTGGAAATTCTGCATTCTTGGGGCCATCTTTAGCCCAGCTGAATTCGAACTATGACCACTGCATGGTTGCTGAGGTTGTTCCCTCAGAGTTTTCAAGTTGCTTTCTTTGCAGTAACAAGACGCTCGCTATGGAAAACTTATGCCTGCAGTCTTCATCGCGTTTATTGGATACTGGACTTCGCAGCTGTGTGTTCGCATTCACCTGCAGAAATTATAAGATGCGCCTCTGCCGTATTGGTAGGAGCAATGGACGTACTTTGCTGCACGTAATGCTCATATTAATAAAAACGCGATGAATGTCATTGTTTCCAACATGGCAAATGTATCCTCGCCCGACTGTTTATGTCATCACACCAACAGACGATTCATCTCGTCACTGGGGGCAGAGGCAGACGGCTTGCCAACAACAGGCAGGCAGCCAGCTGAAATCGACTCTTCGCATCGAGTCCCCGACTTGACGGATCTATTGCCGCTAGAAATGCGACTCAAGAACCCTTGAGAATCCCTTACCAAGCGGCTCATCAGATGTCAATTCTGCATTGATCAATATCACCTGTCACCTGCATTCTCCTCTTTAACTGTCAATATCAACTCTAGGATCTATAGTCAGACTCGTATTTTGAATTGACGATGGAGATGTATTTTTCATTAGTGAGGAAGAGCTTCTATTCATGGAAGAGATAAAGCTCGATTGTAGGTGACAATTGGATTAATTTCAATAGAATATTCATTTTCAAGCTACGATATGAGATCCCTTTATCCACCATCCCACTCCTTCACCTGGTCAACGCTTGTTAGGGAGATGACTGTAGGGAGGGTGTAGGGGTTACTTGAAAAAGCTGTTTACGAAAAAAGATAGTTATGAAAGAGCTGCTTTCGAAAGAGAAAGTTATGAAAAGCGTGCACCACTACTACACGCTCCGTAGACAGCATTGCCTTGTGTATGCGTAAGGGCAATATTAAAAGAAAAAGCAAAAAATAAAATTTAAAAAACAGTCATAAAAACATAGTGGAAAGCATTCGAATTACAAGTGTAATGTATAAAAAGGAAACGCACAGAGAGCTGAAGTGACCGAGTGGCGATACATTCGCGGCCAAAAGTCGTTCAGTGATGAGATGAAGGCCGGCATTACTGTAACATAACTATTAGGAATACTTATGATTCACCAAAAGCTGTACTCCTAGCAAATGAATTAACAAGCAAGATTCCCTCTGTCTCAAGCCCCTCCTACCTCCTGTGTAAGGTTCCTCTAAGTATTTTTGATTAGAACTCTCTGAAAATCGGCCGTCACAATATAAATCAGGCCTTGCACTCATATCTCTTGTTTTTCTGTCCCCATTTTGGAAAGTAATCGCGTCACCTTTGCCGTGTTGCACAGCGTTGAAATTACTTCATGGCAAGTATTAACTTGAAAATAATAAGTATGGATGTAAAGTAAATCGAAGAGAAATACACAGAAATGTGTCATTAGGGGAGGCAACATAACCCAGCTGCTTAAGGCGTGCGAAGATAAACCAGCCCAAACAAGTCCTTGAACTACAGAGGGCCTGGGTTTACTTAATCATTACCAGTCTTGTTCAGGCGAATAAAAAGCTAATCTGAGTAATGGCCTGCTCGAGTCTGCTCTCTATGGAAGCTTACACGCCGAGAACTTCTCCACTGATCTTGAGAGTAGCAAAGAGCGATGCCAATCCTTCACAGCTAGACCTCCTTCAAAATTAAGAAGCACTTGAAACCCAAATTTTTCTTTCACGCTGCTCTGTTCCAGGGAAGTCTA